TTACCTTGGTTGGTGATTGGCTAATGGTTACACAAGCCAAAACATCGTTATGACATCATAAAGTGGCCAAAATCTGATCAGCTCATTTTCAGACAGGTTTTTATATAAATGGATCAGGACAAAAAGACATGTTGATGTAGAAGAGACATGAAAAAGTGGACTTTGGATAATAGGTGACCTTTAATTGATTGCCTGTGTGTGTCTCTCAGGTGGAGCGTCTGATCCAGGAGAGAGGCTGGGAGTTCATGTGGAACGAGAAGCTGGGGTACATCCTCACCTGCCCCTCCAACCTGGGCACGGGCCTGAGGGCCGGCGTGCACGTCAAGCTGCCGCTGATGAGCAGGGTAACACAGCAGTATTAATAGAAGGAACAAACTATTTATATTCATATTTCAGCAGATCATGAGGCATCTTTTGTGCCACTATATTACCAGTTTCACACGTTAAAAATCAGAGCTGCTGCATGGTGTTTTAACATCAAAGTATTACGCTCTGATATTATAATTAGTAAGTGTCAAAAAAGCATGAAATCTTATTGATCTTTGCTGTATAGTATTTTCTCTATTACAGATAAGTATGAGTTAATTCTGTTTCATCTCTACTGTTTATGTCTTTTACAAAAGCCAAAATTAGTTGTTAATAATAATAATAATAATAATGCATTTTATTTATGGGCACCTTTCAAAGCTCTCAAGGACACCTTACAGAGCATAATTAAAAACAAGCAACAAAGAAGGTCAAACAGTAATTCGAGACTTAAAAAACAAAGATTTAAAAACAACAATCAGTTTAGAGGAATTATGATATAGAATACGGCAGTTTGAAAAGGTGGGTTTTCAGGCAGGATTTGAAGGTTGAGAGTGAGTCCACATTGCGGATGTCTTGTGGGAGAGAGTTCCAGAGACGGCTGAAGGCTCTTGACCCCATGGTGGTCAGGCGGGCAGAAGGTACAGTGAGTTGTTACGGCAAAAGATCTGTGTACTTTTGCAATTTGGCTCACCTACATTTTCATAGTGCAATTCACTGCTGTTCTAAATATGGACACCTGCATTGTCATGACTACATAATCAAGAAGCTTGCAAATGGGGAGCTTTGCTAACACAGCCAAACATTAAGCACAAGTCATAGCAAGCTAGCTGATATAACGTAAGCCAGCTCAGCGTGTGTCTGTTAACGCACGAAGCTCTCGCCAACAACTAAAAGACAGTCCAGAGGTTTACTCTTGTCCGGGCCTAATAATAGCAAATTGATCATTATGCTAATTCAAGTGCTTTGAAGCTGTATAGAATAATAATAATAATAAAGCTTTATTTATATAGCACGTTTCATACACATGCAGCTCAAACTGCTTTACAAAATGAAACATCACAAGTTAGAATCAAACAACAAGAAATTCCCCTCAGATTATTTGTTAAGAACTTTAAAAGGTACACACAGCAAAATATAACATGTTATCAGGTTAACAGACACAAGGAGGTCAAATGTAGATAATACAAATAAAATAAAGAATGGTTTCTCTCCGACAGATAAGACACAAGAAAACTGAGTCGATGCAACAATATAGGTTCAACAGAAATACAAATATTAATAATAAAATAACTCCTCTCCCCCACCCCCAAGGACCCCCGAATGAGTAAGATCCTGGACAACCTGCGTCTGCAGAAGAGAGGGACGGGTGGCGTGGACACCGCTGCTGTAGGCGGGACGTACGACATCTCCAACCTGGACCGCCTGGGACTGTCTGAGGTGAGAAGCTGTGTATAATAATAATACGTTTATTTAGTATAGCACCTTTCACAGAAATAGAATTCACAAAGTGCTTCACAAGTAAGAACACAAGACCACAGAAACATGAGAACAACATGAGGCAGAAACTTAAGGTTAACATAAAAACAAAACACAGACCACGTGGAGTCCTGAGAGGAACAAACATGAGAACAGAACACATCACACTCAAGTAGAAACAAAAGCCAATGTCAAAAGTAGGTCTTCAGTAGTTTTTTAAAAGCTTCTACGGAGACTGCAGAGCGGATGTCTTTAGGGAGAGAGTGTTGGAGCTCCACCTGAAAGGCACAGTCACCTTTAGTTTTTAGACGAGACCGTGGGAGAGCCAGTAGGCTGAAGACCTAAGTGACCTAGTGGCGATGTAAGGATGGAGAAGGTCACTTATATACTCCGGTGTATTTCCACGCAGTAGGCTGAGTGAAGGAGAACGGTGCGAGGAGCAATTATCTACGTTTCATTCAGTGGGTAAAGCACAAAGCATGTTTCTGTTCATTAACATCTATGGAT